TTTCCTACGGAGTCGCTGTCGGGTATAATTTCCCTACCTGTCCTTTACTTCTCTACATTGTTCGACTAGTATCCCTTCGACTAGCGATTTGGCAACATACACTACTTACTTTACGATGGGGATCTAAGATAAGGTATAGTACGAATACTTATTTTCATTAGCTCGGTTTCTGCACGAATCGATTCTCTCTCTGATTGCTTAGCTTACTCTACCTCGTAGGGCTACTAGCACTACTTTATGTTTTAGTGTACTTTAGATACTTTAATTAGTAAGTTGCCAGCACCACAGTATTGCGAGTTAACTTTCGTGTTTAGAAGTAAGTAAATCATAAAGTTCATGGAGACTCTGTTGGACGACGGTTGGAAACATCAAATTGCGACGAGCAAAGCATCCTCCTTTTTAATAATATAATAAAAGTATCTTACTGGTTGGACTTCCCTCTACTCAGCCCTATTACTTATATAGAGTACTAGTACCTTACTTATATATGACATTAAGTCGCTGCCAAGACCTCTCGTATCCTCAATTGAACGTCGTATCGTCATCTCGACAACACCGAAATTATTCTTAGCTTTAATCTACGATATACGCGTATAGAAGTAATCGTATACGCTAAGAAATGTCAACTACTCTAATATCGAAATACCTTTAATTAAGTAAGGTAATATCTTAGATTACTCGTACTTTATAAATTATAATCGAGCGTATATATATCTTTTATTTCGTTCGTTAGCGATGTATTAGAGGGGTTTCGCAACATAAATTTCAAATTTAGTTGCGCAGCATTACGAGGTTCAGGGTCCTACGCTAGCCCGATCGGGTAGTAACCGATGTTTAAACGAATATATCCGTAGATATTCCGCGCTTCCGAATGCCCTTATAAAATTCCTACTTTTAATTCATATTAGTTATTTTATCCACGTCTACTACTATAACGTCTTTCAAATAAGGGGAAATAATCGCTATAATAACTATCTTAATATTTATCGTTCTTTATTATCGTAAAAAGCTCCTAGCGCAGCAGCTACGCTAGCGATATAAGCCTCCGCTCAAAAACGACTTTTTCTTCTAGAATCTTAACATTAAAGATAACACCTAGTTTTAATATTATATAAGATTCACGAAGAATAAGATTAGAGAGCTTCTGTAGTACTTTAAGTTAAATACTATTAAATGGCGGAATCGATATCAATACTTACCGAAACTTGCACTCTATATTATCCTTTATAAGTTATCCTAGCCTAATCGACTTTTTAGTATAGCCTATAAATTTAATAGATCGCCGGCCTATATATCGACTATTTTCAATAATACCATTCTTCATCTTACGTATCGCTATCAGAAAATCCTCGAGTAACATCCTTCTATAAATAAAAAAAGAGCTAAGTTATTTACAAAGAAGCTAAAGAAATATAGAGGCTATAATACGATTTAGGCTTTCGTTAATAAGATATTTCGAGGCTTCTATCGCTCTACTTACGTCTAAAGATTTAATTATTTCGATTATAAAGGATATAGCTTAAAATTCTAGGGTACTATAAAACTAAACGACTTAATCTTCTTATTAGACAACTTTCGTCTTAGGTTTATTAACGATCTAACTATGTTCCGAGAGTTTATTATCGCTCGAAAGATTTAAGAATTCTAGCTAAATAAAGTTAAGGATATACTCTATCTCTACGATAATTAGGCATACTCTATAATATAGAAAGTTTTAAATTTAATTTCTAGAGACTATTATAGTCTAACCGCGAACGAACGAACTATTAATAATAGAATATTAAGTATTCGAATTAGTATCGAATAGGCCTTTAATTCTACTTAGTAGCTATAAATAGTAAATACTTTTAAACTCGAATAAAAATCGAGTCTATAGCCTATAGCGGCGTACTATATAATGTCGATTCTACTTACGAATTATTATACATATATAAGAGGCAACTATATAAACAGCCGTTTTCTAGTTTAACCGCTCTCTCTTACTAAATACCTAATCTTATCGAATTACTAATAATTTCATCGATAGCGCATTAAACTATCTTCGATTACTACTAAATATATACGCATTATACTCGAATATTCGCCGCGAAATAACCTTAAATTCGAATAAAGAATAGCAAATAACGGAAACGGTTCGACGCGAAATTATACTTCTTCGCCCTTATCACTTTTAATAATTATTCTTCGCTTCTTCTTTAGCGAATTCTCACTCCTATTCATCCTAGTAATAATACCCTATATACTATCGGCAATATTCTTTATTATAGTTTTTAGTCTCTTAACGCGGGTAGTTAACTCGTAGGCTAATATAGTTTAAGCGTTAATTATCTTATTAAATAATTTAGTAATACTAATAATAGCTTTATCGAAGTTAGTAACGCGAGATTCGCGCTTCTTTTTAGCTCTATTAAGCTTTAATATTAGTGCTTTACAAAGGAGACTATTTTCCTCTAAAGCCTTCTTTTATTTAACGATCTAATCTATTCTCTTTCGCTCGGTATTCGTTAATAAGACTATTAGATCCGAAGTAAATATAGAAGTTAATGCTATACTCGATAAGAATATATTTATTATTAGCTACGTATCTTCGTCTATTATAGAGCTAGATATAGGTGGGAAATTAGAATTAAGAGCTTCATTTTAATTATCTTCGGGCTCTATAAATATAGTATTCTCGCATAAAAACTCGATAGCCTCCTTCTTCTTGCTATAAATCGTTATTATAACCTACAATTTCTATATCTAAATTACCTTTTAAACCCGTGCGTTCTCGTTATCCTATTCATATACTTCAGCCTTAAGCTTCTTTTCTTTAATAAATTCAATTCACATATTAATTTACTACGTCCAATTATCCTCTCGTTTTAATTTACTAATAACCTCCTATACCTTTTCTTTATCTCGTCTAAAAATAAGAATATCTATTCTATTTTATACTAATTAATAAGATAAAACTCGATAAAGACGATCATTTAATTAGAAGGTAATCTTATTCCACTATTATTAAACCTTTCCGTATTATTCATAGCCTATATAATTTTTATTACAGGTTTCTATAAGGATAACCTCTTTCTATTCGATAAGACGACTATCTTATCTAAACGACTTACTTAAATCTCTTTCAATTAAGTTAAAAACTTCTAACTATTAACGTATAGGGATCGATATTTTTTTCGCCCGCGGAGCCCTCTTCTTCAACTCCGCTTTCTTTAATATATAATTATTATTTCTCTCGAAATCTCGTAATTATAGATGCACTAACGGTGATCGAGATTAGTCTAGCAATATACCCTCGCTCTGAAAGCGTTAAAGATATAGGTTAAAGCTTATATTTAATAAAGTTATTTAAGGATAGAAAGAAGTTATAGGCTATTAATAAGGCGAAAGAAAAGTCTATATAGAAGGAAGTCTTTAAAACGTATTATAGGTGATAGATATTATACTCGATACCTAAGATTTACTATTTTTGAAAGTTAGTAATCGAGATCACTAACTTATAAAAGATAGATATACTTATTACTTCTGTAAATCTGAAAAGTTTCTACAAAATTTGAAATTGCTAATTGCGCGTTTGTCGCGGAAATTACAAAATCCGTTGAATTAGTAAATCTAATTTAAATTCGTCTAAATTCCACTCAATTAGCAACTATAATCTACTTTTCACACGCTATCCGCCGATTTAGCAAATCTAATTAGAATTTATCTAAATTCCGCCGATTCAGTAACTATTCTAATCTTTTCCGCCAGTTCTATCAGTTTAGTAGTAATACGCACGAAAAAAGAAAAGTTCTAATGATCGACGTTGCGACGGTAAGGTTCTATAACAACGAGTATCAACGTCAACTCAAATTTGGCTACGGAATTGAATGATTTAATGAAATTAGTCGCGTGGGTAATGCTCTAATATAGCGCACAATGATACGTATATTGTTGATAATATATATTGATGCCATATATATATAGAATAGTACTTAGAGTGTATTAGGGGGCATTACCAAAAAATTTTTAAAAAAAAAAAATTTTTTAAAATAAAAAAAAAAAAAAAAAAAAAAAAAAAAAAAAAAAAATAATAAAAAAAGGGAAAAAAGGTAAAAAAAAAAAAAAAAATAAAAAAAAAAAAAAAAAAAAAAAAAAAAAAATAAAAAAAAAAAAAAAGAAAAAAAAAATAAAAAAAAAAATAAAATTTAAAAAAAAAAAATTAATAAATACTTTTTTAAAAAAATTTATAAAAAAAAAAAAAATAATATTATTTTTTATTTATAATATAAAAAAAAAATATTTATATATAAAAAAAAAAAAAAAAAAAAAAAAAAAAAAAAAAAAAAAAAAAAAAAAAAAAAAATTTTAAAATATAAAAAAAAAAAAAAAAAAAAAAAAAATAAAATATTTTTTTTTTATTAAAAATATAAAAAAAAAAAAAAAAAAAAAAAAAAAAAAAAAAAAAAAAAAAAAAAAAAAAAAAAAATTATTAAAATAATAATATTAATTAAAAAATTTAAAATATTTAAAAAAAAAATAAAAAAAAATAAAAAAAAAAAAAAAAAAAAAAAAAAAAAAAAAAAAAAAAAAAAAAAAAAAAAAAAAAATTTTTTTGTTAAGCCCGTTATTGACCTGATTGATAGACGAGTGAGGATGCAAGACCTCGATTCCAATCGGCTTGTCCCGCTGTAGAACTCAGAGTTCAGTAAAGCAGGCTCAATGCATGACCAACAAATTGCATCGAGCAGTTGTTGGAACGTTTGACTGATGGACTGTTTCAAAAATTGCTCAGGATATTGGGAGATGTCATGTTGGTGTGAGTTTCGCGGGCCCGCATGGAACTTTATTTTGGCATGGCGAGGTCTAGTGCAAAGAGCGGGTGATGTTGGGCATGATACGAATATATATACGTTGAATGTCTAGCTACTTGAATTCCCATAGCTCTTGAACTCATAGGTAAGACATTCGTGGAGGAAAGGCCCCGAAACCCATTGTTTTTAATCGTGGTACAACTCCAAGCCATGCATATCACACATTTTTCACTCCAAGCTTTGGCATCCATTGCTGTCTTTGCAAGACATGCTGCCGCCTCGACAAATTTTTCGAACTCATCGACCGAGAGGCTTAGTCCCATCGTTGTAGACTTGGTACCAGCGCCCGGTACAACACCAGATTTCAAATACGATTTCCACGTGATCTTCAAAGACGGAAAATGCTCTGACAGCCAGCAGGCGGCAGTCCTGGCAACGATGAAAAACATCGCAGCATTGTCCGATCGAGTCCAGCTCTGGCAGGGTGACGGATTTCACGACTGGACTGGCGAAGTGACTCAATGGTTCGGAAGAAGTGCACCAACCCAAGCTGCGTGGATCAAAAGTAACGCGACTTTCAATCACATACTTCGCTGCAGGCCTACTAATTGACATCACTGCCAGATAACTTCCTCAGAGTGAGTACGGCGATCAAACATTACAAATCTGCATGGATCCCAACCTATGTGTTCGTTGGGTGCGATGCGTTTGACAAAACCAGCATTACGTGCATGTCAACCGATATCCTCAATATCTTCAACGACTATGGCTACTTCCGTCGTTGGGTATGCTATCCTCAAGAGTGACTGCATACCTCGTGGTGCGAGTTCTGATTACGTTTCCAGGACACGATCTACTGGAATTTCTGTCCGGACTTCTGGTCTCTGCCTGCCGCTCCCGCAAAAATTCAGAGCACACTCGACGACCCAAAAAAAAACATACACTACATGGAGAACTACTTGGGTACGCGTGAGCAGTGGCTCTTTCCGGGTATCATCTCGATCCGTTCCATAGGCATCAAAAAAAGTAACGTTGGCGTCCATCAGACCTATCACAACTTCTGACGGGTTGTTTAGTGACGTTAATCGACTGGCCACGTATCCTAAGCCCAGCTGCCTGTATTAGGATGGCTACACAAGACAAAAGTTTGCGAGAAACTTCGGTGAATTGTATGCAGATCCCCAATGCAGACTCATGTCTGATCCTGTATTCATCGTCAGCTAATCTCAATAGTCATGTCATATTATTATACCGCCCTGGGTAAGATAATCACCACCCGCCAAGCCACCGGATTAGCTAATCGATATTAATTAGCGATAAGTATTCCGGAGTCGTTCGATTGGGGAGCACGTCCAGTCGTCTCAAGATCAGAGGACTGGGCCGTCGATGCATGGAGCAACATGGACAATAGCGACGGCACAAATTCCAGCCTCACGGCACTTCCAGATCAAAACAGCGCTGGAACAGAGGAATGGGGTTATGCCTCTTCCCAAGCGCCTCCATCTATGCCAGATACGACATTTACTACCATCGGAGATATCACTTTTCCGTCTACGCCAGACACAGCTCATCCGGAAACCGAGAACTGCTTCACATTCCTACCATCCATATCGGTTCAAGGCAGCCCGAGCGAAAAGTGTGACTGCGGGACGACGACCGCAGCGTTGACAACCCAGGGATCCAGCACTGGCTGCGCGCTCAGCAATACCATCTTCGCGATAAACCAGTTTCCAGTCAACACAGGGATCGTCACCTCATCTGCTACCCCGGCTCCCGTGGTGACACCGTCACAGCGTATGTATCCCAAATGTATATTTCAAGTTTTCAAGGAAATGGGAACTGACATCAAGATCGCAGCAACTCCGACACGAGCGTTTGAGATTATGTTCAAACACGGTTTAGTCGACGGGATACAGCTCGACGCTTGGACAGTCTACTCGCACGCCATCGGTCAAGCCACCAAGATAGATGCCTGCAATGGAGGATTTTGGGAGGATTCTGCCGGCGACACCGTCAGCTTCCCGAGCAGCCTAGGCGTTTTCACCGATGCTCCATACAGCGGATGCAGGTACGAAGGTCCCACGACCGCTCCTGGTAGCGTCTCCTGTCCGGATATGGCCTCATGGACCACATGCAGCGCAGCGACTTCGTCGACGCAGGCTTGTGACAACGGCGCCGGGGAAGACACGTTTATCGCGCAGGCGGAATGTGAGTTCTGAGTTTCCTGCGGCGGTGGAATCGCAGTCGGTTTCCCCGGTTTCCCTGGGCCAGCATCTACAGCCCTAGGGGGCCCCCATCGGGGTCCCTGCGGGCAGGTATTTAGGTCCAAATAATAGGGGTGTCTGGCTGTCAAGCGCAGACCCCCGGGACCAAGTTTTTTAGCTGAGTTGCTAACAAATAGGCCACTGTTGGGAATCGTTCTCGGACCATTTTATCCGCCAAGGCCCACGGTACTACTATTACGAGGCTATTTAAGAAGAAAAAGAAATAGTTACTATCTATAAAGTATAAGTAGAAATAATAATATTAGGGTGTTATCAAAGAACTAGTAGCTTATTGCATTTTGAACTAGAAGAAGTAGAAGTAACTTTGATAGCCCCAGAGCCCCTAATACCAAGCGCCCCTCGGAAGCAGTCGCGTGGACGGATCCGTGAGTCCGCCTCGCCGAACCTCTTTCTTACTTTACGCCTCGACACGAACCAACATTGCGCGTGGCGGCTAGTGGGAAAGGCAAAATCAGAACCTCTCCTCCGTCCCTCCTTCCTACCCTCCCGTCTCGGACAACTGTTCTGGTGCGCCCGCTATACTATGATACGTACTTTAAATTGCTGCGAGTGATATTGGCAAGGAACTTAATAACATACGTCATTTTCCGCCCTTTCGAACAGATAGGCTTGGCTGACTCTATTGTAGCTGCACAGGCATTTTCACAGTAAATGTAGCCTGGTCAAGGGTATCAGATATAACAGATATAATATCAGTTGCAACGCCTTCCATAGCGCGCTTTACTACCTATAGGAGGTTCAAGACAGATATATTATCAAGAACAGACTAGATCCCACCGCAATCACGACCCTGCATCGACGCGGCTATTCTGCTTAGAACAGTCCAGCCAATATAGTTGGGTTCCAAATAGGGCGTGGGAACATTTGCGGAGATGCCAACGGGGACAGTGGTGTCGTCATACTGGATAATGTGAGAGGCCGCGCTTGTTTGATATGACGCAGCGTACCATGGCATTGAATGCCTTCGAATATGACTTGGCTACAGAGCTAGTTGATGCTTTTGGAGGAGCTGACGAAGTTGGGCTGGGGACAGCTATGGCGTGAGTGATTATGGTGGCAATATCCAACAATGTTTGGAACGAAATCATCCTTTGCAATAGGAATCCTAGAGAGGGTGAGCAATCCTGTGTAAGATCTCAAAGAGGCTGTTATGGAAGATAGGTCAACTCCGCTGGGAAACAAGGGGAAACGGACAACTCGATGTAAAGCAATTCCGGGTTTTTTCATGCAATATAAAGGCCGAATATCTCAAAGCGATCATTTTCGACATGCAGGGGCAGCACTCTATACTTTTTGTTGCACCGAAGTCGTGAACCATGAATTGCCAGCTCCTGCATTTTGTGGTCAACATCCCATAGCACGTGGGCATGCATTCCCTATTCAATGCCAACGTATGATGAAGGCAAGCATTAAACAAGTAGTCGATGGAGGGGGTAAATGACTGTTGATGGGAGTGATAATACACCCATGGGAGAGATGCAGGAGCAGTTGAGACTGGAAATGCAAGACGACGACGACGACGATGAATTGATACATTACGATCAATCTTTGGTGTGTCAATGCCTCATAGTTGAAGGTCCTATTGGCCAAGGAGCAACAAGGGGGGAGGGTTGGACCGCAACGACTTTCGAATACTCTCCGCAGAACCACGAGCATCGGACTTGCTCGATCTTCCTGAATATATATACCTTAGGGTTCCGGACAGTCGTGTTATGTGAAACTTTGGACAAGGGCAACGAACAAACAGATTTCAGAAGCGGCGCACCGGTTAATACTGTTATTTTATTCCTACAATGGCGGTGCCAAAGAAAAGCAAGTAAAAAGACCACCTATAACGGTGGTTGAGACCATCTGAAATGGATGCCTTATGGTCTCATATCTCATCCGCACACAATTTAGAGAACTTAAAGGAATAATGGACACAGTACGGAGGTCGGCACCAAAAGTCCTGGACATGCCAAGACAAGGGTCCAGGTAGGGCTGAGTGCTTGGTATACTTTCAAATTTCATGGATAGCATTATTATTCTTTATTTTAATAAGTATTAGTACTCTATATAATAGCGACGTAGTATATATATATAAAGTATATATATACGAAGTATAAATATACGAAGTATATATATAATAGCGATATTAATAGAATATATAATAGTAATATATTAATAATATTAAAGTATTAATTATAGCGTAAAGAAATAGAGAAAGAGTATAGAGACTTTTAATATATAAGTCTTATTTATATAATATAATAAATAGAAATCTTCTTATTATTCTCTATCTTAATTATCTTTTATTAATATATTTAATATTTAAAGTATTAATTATAATAATAAGACTCGAATTTAAATACTTATTAAGTCTTATTAACTATAAATAAAATATTATATTACTTAAAAAGATATATTAAGAACTTATAAGAAAGTCGAAAGATAATAACTATATTATTAAAATTACGAGCTTATTTAAAAGAGAATTTAGAAGTAAATAGAGTAAATATCGAGATATATTATAAAGATAATACGTTTTAAAGATAATAACGAGTATAGAAAAGATCGTAAGAGAGATAATATACGATTATATAACTTCGTCGAGCGAGTTAATTATTAGAATCGATATAGATATAATATTAATATAGATATATTAAATAAGATAACTAAGATATCGAATTATATAGATGAAAAGAAGATATAATATAATAGAAAATATCTTCGCTAAGGCTCGCTAGCTATAGAACTAAGAAGTATATTAAGAGTACGCTTATAATACTATCTTTCTTCTTCGTTAAATTATATTCTATAATTAATAAGTAAAAAGATAGAAAAATAAGTATATATATACGCTTAACGCTTAAAAAATAATAAAAGTAGTAAAGAAATAATTATATCCGGGAACTCTAGTATTATATCTTTCTTTATAAGAGATATTAGAAACGATAGTAGCTTTTTATATTTATATTATAGTAATATTACTAATCGAGATATAAATATATATAGAAAGTCTAGCCGAGAGAGAATCGATATAGTATAGCGAAAATTATATCTATAAACGTAGAGGTAAATAATAATAATTTTCGAATTTATATTTAAGCGAATAGAATATCGATAGAATAATACGACGTAATTAATTAAGAGCTTTCGAACTAAATCGAGTGATAGACGCTAAAACTCTAATTTAATATTAAGTAACTTTAATATAATCTTCTCTATAATATATTATTTAGCTAATATCGATTATATTTCGTAATAGCGATAATATAATTTATATATATACTAATATAACTTTAAAAGATCTTTAGAGTTATATTAATAAGGGGAGTTTACGCGAAAGATTATATATAAGATAATTTCTAATTAATATAAGTCTAAGAAATCGATTCTCGATTTTAAAAAAAATAAGGCTATTATAAAGATATCGAACGATTTTAATTTAACTAAAAACGAGGTATTCGAGATAGTTTCGAAATTTTATTAGTTAATTCTTTATAGATAAGACTCTTCGAGATATCGCTTATAAAAGTCGTCTATTAAATTCTAGCAATTTTCGAATTTATCGCCGTTCGCATTATATTAGATAAGATTATTATCGAGGTTTTTCTACTTAACTTTATACTTAAAACGGCTATAGATTAATTTAAAGCTAAGTATTTCTTTAATAATCTATTTAATTCGATTATTAATAGTAATATATTTCGATAAAAGATTTATCTACTCTAATAAGAGGTTATTTATCGCGAGACTTAAGAGATTAAAATAGAAGACGTCGTAAATTCTTATAATTAGCGGAAGTTTTAGACGATATAAGATTTCTATAAGACCTATAATCTCGAATAGATTAAGTCTCTTATAGTTTAATTTACAAGAAGAGCGATCGAAGATAATATTCTTACTATTTAGAAAGATCTTATCGTCTATTTAAAAAGTAATCTTTTATTAATATTTATTAACTTATATAACTATAGCCTTCTAAGCGCGATCTATATTACTTCGAATATACTTAAAAACTTATTTTATATAATTCGTAATATTCTTCGCTCGAGTAGTATTAAGACGCTTATATATAATCTTATAGTCGATAATATTTAAGCTAAAAATTATTCGAGAATAAAACCTCTTATTCGCGAGGAAAGATAGAATATTAATAGTTAATAAGATAGTATTATTATCGACGAACTCGATAATAGATAGTTATCTTATCTAGTCGTTCTATATATAATTATAATATATTTAAAAATAATACTTTATATTCTAATTCGCTTATTCGATCTATTTATTAGTTTTAGAATAGAAAGCTATTAATAGCTTAGCTATAATACTTAGTCTCTTATAAAAAAACTTTTATATAGTAGTTATAAATTAAGAGCCTCGATTTGATATTATTAAGATCGATAAGTTATATAGACGAAAAACTTTCTTAAATAGTAAGTTAACTATCTTCTTAGCGATAATATCTTTATTAATATTAGAATAGACTACGTAGTAACGTTTCTTAATAAGTCGATTAATTACTATCTAAATAGCGTTATAGTTATCGAATATAAATAAGTCTATAACGAAGTCGATTAATATATCTTATTATCGTTTTTATAAAATTAATAGAGATTATAGTTTACGAGTCGAAAAGATATAATATAGTATAAGATATTAATTTATTATACTATACTCTAATATAATATAAGTTATTAAGATTTATAGAATTCTATATCTAATATAATATAAGATCTTAGCGATATATACTACGATATAATATATCTATAGTATTATATTATAATATAATATATATATAAGATATTTTAATTAGAATTTCTATATTTAGAAGTAGCTATTTTAATTATTATTCTAATTAATACGACTACGTTAAATTAATAAAATATAAAATTAAATGCGATTATATTTTATTACTTTATATATATAAAAGAAAGCGAGCTATATCTACT